TGAACTCAACACCCGGCAATGCGTTAATTAAATTATCAAATTTAATTGGGGACGTGTTGTTTCCCCTAGAGAAACGCAGGTTCCACCTCAAGCAGCTGTAATTATATAGTTTTGAACGTCCCGTATAACTGACAGCTTTATTTAGCGGTTAGAGGCCCAGAGAGCGAAATAACTGTTTTGACGAGTCGAGGAGTAGGTTTAGTAATGTGAATCCTAAACATGATTTAGATTGAATGTTGTGGTAGATGTTAAAATCAAGAGTGAGTTAGGTTGGGACTTTGGTCACAGAAAACGTACTCTTTGGTCTTGAAGGCCCTGGTTCAAATCCCAGCAATGCCAATGTGAATATGTCGTAATGTAATGGATTGGAGTTAAGATGTAGTTTAAATTAATAAAAAAAATGTAATTAAAGTGAGAAGTACTTGCTCTGTAATGTAGAACTCCGATGGGTGCCGCTGGTGTGTATTTACAGTACACCACTCTTAATACTTAACACGAGAGCGAGACTTAAATTATGGAGACGATGGTTCAATCTTCACCGATCACTATTAACTTTTAGCATTACAATAAATCAGTTCTTGTAAAGGATACAGTCTTTCTTCAGGATACTCTCAAATTATTAGATGAATTACCTTTAAGAGCGTTCAGCTTACATGTACTTTCCCAAAACACCGACCTAAATTTTAATCTTTGATGTCAATCTAAACTACTATGTCATCAACGAGAGGCTATAGTTCCTATCAAATCACTAAAGAATATGTTACACTCGTACAACAAAACACAATCAAAAGCTGCTCAACATAAATAACACGTCACAATTACAATTGAGTTACCGTGAAACAAAAAGACAGAAACATAACCTACAAATAATGTCGGACGCGATAATCGGGTTTAATTCGGCGTTGGCGCGAACGTTAACGGCGCGAGGCTATGTGTTCATCAGCTGGCATTGTAATTATCAGCTGTAAATATCAGCTGATTGGTGATAAACAGCTGAGAGCTCCAGATATTGTGTCATTAGCACGGCAGATAGACATCGCGGCTACTGTAGCCCTACTGTGGTTAGAGAATCGTAAATACGCCGTGAAAATACAGCCTCCCTGGAGCTTGAGAGGTTTCTTTTTGTTTTGAGATTTGGAGCTGGAATAGCGATTAGAATTGTGTTGTATTGTTCCGGATACAATCCTGAGAGAATTGTGAAACTATTACGTTGCAACGATTTATCGATCTATTGGCTGTTATCTTTCTTTAATTTATTACTGTATATACATTAAAATGCTATTTTAATGGAAACGGATAAAACAATTTTCCATTTAAAAACTATTTACAAAGATCATAGGTAACTGAAAAACATGGTTGGTTGTGTTCCTTCCTAGACCAATGGTAAAATCTCTTTGTCAGTAATTAAAATCAAATTACACACCGTTATTGTAACCGTAGAGCAAAAAGTCTAAACAGATTAAGATTCAATATAAAGAAAACTTATGGACTCGGTAATAATTACTGGGATATAAACTCTCTGAGTGAACCATAAATGACCAGGTAAGTTCAAAAACAAGTTTCAATTAAATTAACATCTATTATGAGTAATTTATTATTTCATAAAATAGATTAACTCAGAATTATCGTTATGCCAAATTAATATAACATTTTGTCTTATTAACGAGTTATTTAGTAAACCTAGTAGTTCATATTAACACATCAACTGTAAATAGAAAACCGCTTCCTTCAATCTGTCAGATTTACAGTTGAATTCCTAGATCCATCGATTGACACGGACAGTCAGAATTAATTTTATGCAACAGCTTCTTAACGGAAGTTTGGTTTTTTAGGAAGATCTCCGACAACCGCCGGATCCGACGACAGCGACGGGGAGAAGCGAGAGACGAGATTAGAATATTTTATATCCGTACGATTAATTTGCGTACATCTCTCATTTATCTACAAGGACAAAGCGAGGATTACCATCCGTTCGTTACCGGAGAGTTCCCACAGATACGAGCGTCCCATTGGTCGTCACCGTCAAAGACAAAAAAGCGACCCCACACTATTAGGCAAAACATACACACCCAGCCAAACTTCCTTTATTTCAAACGAATAAAAACATAATTTGCATGCTTAACCCTCTCGAGAACGGCTTAGGATGTTTTTGTGATGCACCGCTACCTGACAGACGGGCTTAAAGACCCGCAAGAACAATGTCGAGTCTAGTGAGAAAAAACCTGCATTTGCATCCAGTGTGACCACACCACCCCAGGCGAACAGGTACGGCAAGGGTAAAAAACAAACGGGACGACTCAGTAGGGGAATCCTTCATTAATAAAGTTGGGGTGAAGTGTAAACAAAAGAGTGACTATCATCCCGCGAGCGCTTCTTGAGCTACCTTATTGTTCTACGCAGCACTTTGCATTCGGACAATACCGGTTTGGCATATTTAAATACGATACGACCTGTAATAAAAGCGGTTTAATTATATAGAGGAGGATCTCGGTCTAGCATTGTTTTCTACCGGTTTTTGCATACCAACGGATACTGCCACTCAGGGGCGGTGAGAAAAAAACGAGGGAAAAACTATGGTTTTTACGCGGGCTCGAAGGGTTGGGATTTCATGCACCGTTGTATGTCGTTGAACGTAACGTATATACGGTTGTACGGTGACCATGTGTAACCGACTAACTTACTGTAAATTTATTCTAACGACAGAAAACTAGTCATACAAGTAGTTAGTAAATTCGCAAAGATTCCATGAGTGAGCTGACAATTTATCGATTAGAATTATTGAAAATGTACATAAATTAAAACAAAAGAGGACAATACATAAACAGTAGGGTAAATGCGTTAGTATAATTTTCACGTAACGCAGGAGAATATATTGTAAGATTTGCAAAGACGTCACTATTTAGTAGAAATTATGATAAATCTGTGAACAAATGCGGAAACTCCCAATACCCTGAAACGCTATATTTCAATTTTGCACAACTACCACAACGTTGACTACAGGAATTTAAAATTCTCTCCCGTTTTCCATTAGCAAAATGTATTCCAACAACCCCTCATGAAGATATCACTATTGATCCGTCATGTCTGACATTGAAGTGTTCACATCAGCATGCCGTGAGACAGAGCCTAGGTAGTCTAGGTACGCCAGCTGTCGTCGCTCAGCAGGCGTCCATGGCCTCACAATGATAACCGCATGTTTGAATATTGATGGCCGATTGGTCCTAATAGCTCATCGGGCCGCAGTGACAAAACAAACAACTTGGGTTCCCAGCCACTCCACCAACCCTTGCGACACTTTGCATAAAATAATATCAACACTGGGGCGAAATCGATCCCCAATAAACCAGTTGCGAAATGTGTGTAGGAATGATCCATGGAAGATAATTCTACTTGAATATATCTTGTTGTTTCTTCTATTCAAATTTAACCTGGAAGATATTTTTGTCTACTTACTTCTGCATGGAAAAATGTCTTGTATTCCCGAACAATTGTTTAATTAATGACGAGAAAAGCTCTGCTGAAAGGTTTTGCTATTAATTGAAACGAAGTACAGTATATTTGAAATAAAAAGAAACACAGGATCTGGAACCACTTCTTCTAATTATATCTATCTAATACGTAAAACGTTCTTCCAAAAATTGCAGGCTGCACATATATGACGCACATTATTCTATTCGTCGCATTTTCCCCCATAGAAAGATCAAAACAAAATAAAATGCGTTTCAACAAATATTAGAGACAATTTTTGCAGTTTATCCAATAGTACATCAACAATTTGTTTTAACATAAGAAGCTAGATTGATCAAGCATAGGCCTATACATGCACCCAAGGACTCACTCATTACGTAATGTTTTTCCAGAAAATAAAGAGAATCAATTTGTAGAAGGTAAACAAAAAGTTGAACAACCTCACAATCGGCATTCCTGTTTGGTACAAGAACCTGCTGAAGAACAAGACCGAGAGGACTTCCTTGCTCTTGACCGAAGAGCAGGTTTCATTGGAAGAAAGTGAAGCGGGGCCAAGGTTGGGTTATGGCAATGATCGGGAAAGTTCCAATGTGGGACATGTTACACAACTTTACCTGTTCCGGAAGAAGCATCATTTGATTCAACCCGCCTTGGTCTTGAATAGAGCCACATTCTCGAAAGCAAGTTTCATTTGGCTCTGCAAACTAGTTCCCAAGACACGGTCGTTTGGCACACAGTTGCAACGATACGGGTTGTCTACAACTTTAGCGGCAATTCTAGATAGGTCAACATGTGTTGGCTGCGTTTATGTGCAATTCAAGGTACTCCGCATAATGTGTTGCTAGGCAAGCTCAAGACTGCAGCCTTCAGTGAGACATTGATAACGGACATGTCTCAAACGTTCAAGACGTTAGGGAATAAGGAAAACCAACCGACATAAATCTCAACGGTGCGTTGCATTGAAAATAATTGCTACAGTAAAATTTAGATGCACGATAATCTGAAGGTCATCTAGAATTATTTGTGGAGTGATTTGTGTGCGCTAAATGTTCTAGATGAATGCTGATCTTTAAATTGTAACTTTTGATTTACAATCGAGAATTTGAAATATGGTTTTAATATTTACACTATTGATATTTTTGCACAAGGACTCCATGTCGTATGTAAATAACGATTGCATTCAATGTACACTTATTATTGAGATCAGCTATACATAGATTGCTTAGTCACGAATAAAATATATGTACAAGATCAATTGTATGATTGACTTTTTTTACCGAGGATACATTGATGTAATAAAAGCAAGTTCTCTATTATTAAAATGTGTTCTAGGAGATAACCTCAAGAATTCCCAGAAACTTCAAACTACGTTTACATTCAAGATACTTTATAGTTCCAATTATATTGTTAGTTGTTTCAGCTATATTGTCTGGGTCTCTCTGAGAAGAAGTGGTATTCCCGCAGGTGCTATATCCCCAAACATTTGCTGCTGAGTTAGAACATTTTGATTGACTTTTCGCAAAACTGCTTACCTCCACTCCTCCGTTCCACGCCATGTAGTGGATGCCATCGTGATGGTTGGTGCCCACGTTGTTCATGTGCTCAGCCATGACGGACATCCAGTGGACGAGGTTGCCCTGTCCCTGGCCTCCCGCGGGCCCTCCACACTTGCCGTGGGCCCCGGACACCCCGGCACTACCGCCGCCGCCGTGCTGGCCTCCCGCGCCCTCCCACACGAAGGCGGCCTTCTGGAACATACCAGCAATGAGTTAGCAACATGGAAATAAATACGTTATGCAAAGTTTGACAGTCATCTGATTAGCACAAGGAAATGTGTCAAAACTCTATACAGAAATTAGGTAAATTATCGTTAAAATGGGTTTATATTAGTTTGTTATCTTATAAGTTCTGGTGTAATAGATTGGTGATGGTGAGGTCATGAAAAGATTAATTTTGATATAGCACAGTTTATCCTTTTTGTTACATCCCTTTTTGCCCTTTTTGTTGTGTCTAAGTCGATTAAGTGTCACGTACTAATCTTCGTCTTCTATGTTTACAGAACTTAGTGGAACTTACTCTTACTGCTCGTGGCATTTTATTCATCCACAGAAAATATTATTGAATTCTGATATTTATTTGTGTCCAACCTAATACTTGGTTTATATTAAACCATGTGTTGTTTGTTTACATTCAACTAACAACATGTACACACACAGCTTGTAACAACAAAATATCTTGACACTTGACAAATTCCACTGCTGTAGTAAGAATTATTAAACAGCTGGGTTATTATATTTTCTCCATAAGAAATACATTAGGATTTTGATGGCCTGTGAGGCAAAGCCCGAGAGCTTTTATTACAGGAATTGGTAGAAGCATCGTCTACACAAAAAATACTTAATTTTGACGCATCGTTTGCAAATCCGTCCATTATTACCGGAGGCGTAGTGTTTAATTATTAACACACATTTACAAATGTCAACACTCTTACCGCGCCGATCTGTCTTTTCCCGCGTTATCGCTTCCCACAGTTCGCGCCATCGCACCACCGCCTCCACCGGGCCGTGGACGTGATCGCGCTGACAGCCCCTCGGTCCGCTGGACACGACGTGTCGACCGTCCGCAGTACGAAGTAATCGGAGTGGACAACTTGCAAATAAGCTGCGATATATCATTTATCACTCGGGATAACGAATGACCGCAACACCGGTCTGTGACTGATATGATGGCATGAGCTGTTACAAGAGGGTGTAGAAGGTTGAGAGATGAAAGATTGACGGTATCACGAATAATGTTTTAAGAAATGAGTTTACTGCGTGTAAGTGCTAACTGGTTGACCCGAATGAGATATAGATGTACAAACGACTGCTACGTCAGCAACTCTGGCTTTGCATAAAGTTAAAGACTGACATTAGTAATTTTTGCCATAGTCTTTGGTAAACAAAGGTCAACTCTGACTTTTAAGTACAAAACTGGTATTGGTAATTTGTTCATAGATTTGGATAAATAATGATAGTAATTAGTAAGTAGCATTACACGAGCGATGCCAAAAAAATATTTTAGTAGTGTTTATTCCAAAGCTAGAAACATAGTTTAATATTGTATTAAATTCAACAGGCTCTGATCTTATAATTACAATACAAGTGCGTAAAAAATCGTGATTATAAATTCGGAATAACGTAATAAAAATCAATTGCGATTTACATTTTTCAGCACTTATATTCCCTGTACTGCACTGGCTCACTCCTCAATTGCTTGATTCGTTCAAAGCAAAGGGCTATATGTCTGGGGTACAAACGAAACTTTCAAACATACCACCAATCATGATTTAACTTGAATCCTGTTTGCAAACCATATATAAATCCCAAAGTACCCATAAACTTTTGAGTAAACTACAATTCATACACCCATAAACCATATACTTAAAATGTTCGTCATGACGAGAAACCTTGCCCAAAACTGTATTTCATTATTTCATAAATTGCTCTTTAAGGACGTATTTTTTAAAGGGAACTTTTCATATACCTAATGTTAAAAATACGTCAGCTGTACTTATTTGTATGGTATTCTTTCAATTTTTAACTTATTAAAATCAGGTGTGATTATTTGTTTGTATTACTGCATTCTGTTTTGTTTATTTCAGATTAACTTAACCAATCAATAGTTTTATTAATACTTGTGAAGTCAAACGGAATGAAGCCCGTGGGTAACAGCTAGTTCATTTTAATCGCAATTTTGCTATTTAACTACACCCACAAACCTAACATAATTTCTTTAAAACTTTGCTCTCACACGAAAGACTTTCCATTACTTATCGAACTTTCCTCAATCAACACCCAAGTTTTGCTAAAATATTCGCTCAATCAACCCGATATCATTTCAACTGGACCGAACCGTTAACGATTGACGGAGAAACCTGGAGACGTCCAAAAATCTTGCCAAACGCGAGAAACGTGAAAGGTGTTTAATTGTCAGTTATCCTAACGAGCTGTGGATGGAAAGTCGATGCGGGTGTTTGAGAGAAGTCCACATTATACACTTGTAATTGGCCGGCATCCAGTATGGACAAGCAGGGTACAGGAAAAGTAACAGGAATGCCCTTAGAAGTAGGCATCAAGGCCCTTAATTGATTGCATTAGGCTAATTTGGACAAGGTATGTAAATTATGCACTAGGGCGTTTGGTTGTGCTTTTGGTTAAGTTGTTGAAGAGTTATTAAATTAAATTAAATACATGGGTAAATTATAATATATTTTTCACGGGTTGTAAAGACACCCGTGTGATGAACTTTATTTTTATATTGCACCATTATTTGAACAAACTATATTTTTAAACTACTACTTTCAAACTATGTTTGAACAGAACTAAAATAGTTTTAATTTAAAGATGATGCCTCAAAACTACTTCTTACTTGTTTTCAATTTTATTTCCTAATGTAAACAGTCAGCTGTTTAGTAAGTGATTCAATAGTTTAATCAAAGATTACATATGCTAACGCAACTTTTGCGTTAGCATATGTAATCTTTGGTTTAATCTATTAAGATTGTGTTAGTGTGCATTATACTATCGACATGTCGAACTATTTACAATAAGGTCACAATTAATTACAATCAATTAAACAACCGATACTAGCAATTTTGTTTACAATTAAAATTTGCTACTGAGTTGACAACAGCTGATTTTTACTCCATATGGGCTACAGACTCTTTTAACGCCCTAGGAGTAAAAGTGCTACTTTAGACCCACACCATGTAATTAAAGCATGTATTTAAAACGGCTGTTTTTGTTGCAGTAAGACGAAAAAGATGGCGATGAAGAACTTTGTGTTTCGAGAAGTTTTTGAAGGCCTTTTGCGGAGAGCAAAAGTGATGTGAAGAAATTAGCCTTCAACCGCGGAACAAAAGTGATACAGCCGAAGAGTGAAACTACCACTAACATAGACTATGTAATGATCTTCCAACTCACTATTTTAGAGGCCTTTTTAATGAGGGCCTAAAAAAGACTAACTCTGTCTACGATTTGAAGAGCTCGAAAAAAATTCTGAGACAAATATAACTTCTGAAAGCTTACCTGGAATTAATTAATTATGTCATTTCCCAAAACAATCAGAAACCAAAACCATACCACATAATTAAGCCCATAAAGCATACGAACTATTATAACTGTTTCATGCTCTACTCGCTTCACATATCACTCAAACACAATTACTATAAAATTCCTGGAAGGCATATGGCGTTACTAATGAGAGAAAGAAACCAAACTAGCTCAGAAGCAGGTGCTGGCGTCTTTTGTTTACCTCACTGAGCCGTTTTGAAATTAAACCCCGCATGATCAAGGCTGGATATCGTGCGTAGCATAATGAATTCGACTTTACATCGTCATCATTAAACCTGAATTCCAAATATATATAATAAACTATCACACTCAATAATGCTGGAAAACGTTTGCTGAAGGAATACACTTCGAAATACAAGTGCAACCATTAGCTTGGTTTTAAGAACAAACCGCGAAAGGTTGAGTGTTTAATTTTAGCTTTCGATTTTTCAAGCAAAATGAAAAACTGTTTATATTATTTTCATTCTCCTTTGACAATAAAAGTGGGATTTATGAAGATGAATATTTAAAGCGGGATAATAGTATCGGCTGCTCTTTTTCGTCCTACATCAGTCCAAACCTTTTTAGCCTTTCAACAATTTCATAAAACATATTTAGACTGAAGATGTAATGTTATAAATGGATGTTGCGATTCTCGTGACGTCCTATCATTTAACTGTTTATATAACTATGCAACAGTGGTTAAACGGGCATCCCACTGACTATGACAAACTCGAAGAGTTTCGGCATTATTAACAAAGTCTCAGATTGGTCTTTTAGCAATGATGTTAATAGTTATATTCACTTCTGCAGGGGTGGTAGAAAGCTTGAGGCTCGTGACAAACTTCAACTGTAGGTGTATCGATAAATTGGCAATATGAACAGGTCTTCAAATGAACAGGTCCAAAGAAAATTAACGTATTTTTTTATCAACGATTTTAATAGTTATCTTCACTACTGCAGGGGTGGTAGAATGCTTGAGGCTCATGACAAACTTCAGCTGTAGGTGTATCGATAAATTGGCAAGATGAACAGGTTCAAAGAAAATGAACTGGTCATTTAGCAATGATCTTAATAGTTATCTTCACTACTGCAAGGGTGGTAGAAAGCTTGAGGCTCATGACAAACTTCAGCTGTAGGTGTATCGATAAATTGGCAAGATGAACAGGTTCAAAGAAAATGAACTGGTCATTTAGCAATGATCTTAATAGTTATCTTCACTACTGCAAGGGTGGTAGAAAGCTTGAGGCTCATGACAAACTTCAGCTGTAGGTGTATCGATAAATCGGCAAGATGAACAGGTCCTCAGATGAACAGGTCTTTCAGGTTCCAATGCCCTAATTGTGGCTGGATACTCACTTCAACAAAAAATAGCCCTCGGATTATGCAACAGTGACTTACAAAAACCATTCCGGTCTCGGCACTAACCTACGCCAACATTCACAGTTTTAATTCTAGTCCTCGTTTTTGGTCCTAGTTTTTTGGGAGTACCGAAGTAACGGTAGTCGGCGTAGAGATAGTTTTTTTTTACTCCAAGCCATCCTTTTTGTTTTTGCTCCGTGTTTGTAAACACACTTGTTTTTGTTACTACGGACCGGGCGCCGGATTACTTTTTGCTGCCGGATTAGCGATTGTTGTGGTTTGCTAGTTTGTCG